GCCCCTCAGGACTTCTCAAAGAAATTTTCTTTCTGCCTATAAAGAGGAAGATACCACACTTATTAGGCTTATATGGTATGTTATATTACATGGGAAGCATTGTCAAATAAGTAATGATAAACCTTCTTAGGTGGTATTATGTGGGTAAATATTACTGATATAAATGTTTTAAAAACTGTGTAACAGTACTAAAATTCTGCTCTGTCCTGGTTATAAGTCATAATTCTGGTTATTATTTTAAAGTGTTGTATGTCACAAAAATAAACCAAATTTCTTTGTTAATTGCAATTTTGAGGTCTTATTGTTTACAGACAATTATTGTTTTACTGTGATACTTTTGCAAAATATGTTTCATCTTCAGAGAAATTCATGGAAAGGACTCTGAAACTTACTCCAGAAAAAGGCTTCTGATAAACTTTCCTATTATAAAACTGAACTGGGTAAGAAATTACAGAACTCTAACAGAGAAATTGATGACTTCATGAAACTGCTAACAGAAGATTAAGATCAAGAATTGATTATACAGGACTGAATAATGGAGGACGATGATTATAATTTTTATGATTTTTCATTTGAAATATTGCTGATTCTTTGATGTTTTGTTTTTTGCAGATTTAAGGAAACTTTTTCTCCTTTCTCTTAAGCCAACTATGACATACCAACTTGGTAAATTATAACTTTGTAAGCAGAATTGAAACATTTATCTTTTTCTCCCTACCTGATCCCTCCAGGATTTGGAAACTCTTAGAGAGTGAGTATTGTTTTCATGGCAACATAGTTATTTGCTTAAGTTCAATAAGAATCTGTTCTCCTTATAACAGGACACAATTGGAAACATTGGCTATATTACCAAAGCTTTGACTGGAATATCATATTTGAGAAATACATGCATAAACTCAGATATGATCAAACAGCTTTTGAAAGACAAAGATTGGACTTCATGGAATAAAGTCACTTGGAAACATTGGCCTGATACCTTGTTTACAGAAGTTCCAAGCAATCTTATCCAAGTGAGGAAGGAAGGTCACTTATCTGGCAGGTGCCTGGAACCTCAATATTTTGGGGAACCTCAAAAGAAGAGAGGGATTCACCCAAATCTGTAGGTATTGCAGGCAAAATCTGATGACAAAGTTCTTGGCTTGGTTTTCTTGGCATTGAGAGGCCTTTAAAGTTCAATCTGAGATTCCTTATAAGAAAGCCTATCTGATCAGTTGCTATTCTTGCTGCACTTATGTAAATAATTGAATCAAGTTTTATTGAAACTAGACTTATTTTGCAAACCAGTTAGTCTTAATTAAGCTATCTTTGGTAAAAATGAGGGTGATTTTAGAGAGAAAAATTATGTTTCAATAGAAACTATAGTACACATTCATGGATATTAGATTCTAGTTCTGTTAATTGTCTTTGAGGTTTTTGTTTTATATCTGTTAAATGGACTGGATCCTGAATTCTTCTAATCTCCTGAAATATCTGGCTACAAATCTCCAAAGTAACGTTTTCAATTTTCCCATCATTTTCACTTGGAATCATTGAGAACTGAACCTGTACTTTTTCCTGAAGCCTTGGAAACTGAAGCTGGAGGACTTGATATAAACTTAAGAGATTCATGTCTGTTGCTGTGTAAGGCACTCAGAAAGATATCTAAATGCAGGATGACATCATCAGAGACATTTTAAGCTGCAAAAGATGCTTCAACACTGACATCTAGAAGTCTTCTTAACTGGCTGTCCTCTGAACTCAGAAACTGGTTTATAATTTACTCCAACCATTGACCTTGTTTTTCTTTTGTTTCCATATAAATGCTTCTTATTAAATACCTGATTGCTGGCTTCCACAATATAGTCCTAACTTTGGGAGCCCATGTGCATCACTGCCTTCTAAAATGAACTTAACTGGACTGATCTATTATCAGGACTAAGAGATGTGTTCAGTGAGATGGAACCTACCACTCAGCTTCTGGACTATGAAACTTCTTTAAGTTTCAAAAGGACTGTGAGATAGGATCAGAATTGCTAAAGCATTCTTTTCTAAGTAGTCACCCCTTGGATCCACCACAGATGGGTAAAAAAAGCGCCCACGCCTGAACATCAAGAGAGATCATCACAGACAATTGATGACTCTGAGTTTTCCTGAAAACCACTCTCTGATTTGAAACTCTTGTTTCAGTGACACTATGCAGATAAATAATGACTGGCTATCCACCCCAGGCTCTGCCCTGGATCCTAACCAACCCCTTATCATTTAGGTGCAGTATGCTTACAAGGAGGTTGCATGTTCCTGGACAGCAACATTGGGTCCATCAGACAAATGGGCAACCCAGTAGCTAGACTATAAAGAACTAGTGGAATCTGGACGGGGAAAGGGGGGCAAGTATGCCCAGTTCCTGAACACATGGAGGCCATAAAATTACAAATGGTTGTTACAAACAATTTGGGGCTATGCCTCTGGTGACCCACAAACCTATTTGAAGATTAGCTATAAATTCTGCTCCTACTGGTCCCTATGACAATGCCCATGCTCAGCAGGGAGCAGTTACAGAAGATGGACCTTTGACCTGTACCCCTCAATAATGAGGAGCAGGATAAAACTAGAGGGGGGATTTGTCACCAACTAGTGCCCCAAGGAACTCAAAAGTTGGCTTTGGAAGCATTTAACTTTTTATGTTAAGGAGACACGACCAGCAACCACCCTGAAGCTAATCAAGCCTCCCTACAAGAGCTACGCCCATGACCTTGCCTTATTTTTAATGCAAAGATCTCTTCAGGAGAAGAGTAAGCCTCATTACCATAATCTGCAGTGCACCAGCCTCTCACTTTTGAATATTCATTTCCCAACCAAAATAAAAGTTCCTGCTTCCCTTTGTTTGGGGATGCTTTGACTTGGCAAATGATTCCTCATGGCCTCCTATTTGCTACAAATACACTTTACTTTGTGAGACAACCTCCACTGGTGTAGAGTCTTAGTTAACTCACCAGGAGGTGAGCCCACTTGGTTCCATATCAAGTGGATACGGGATCAATGAACACTTATACACTGCTGAGAGGAGCATGAATTAGAACAACCACTTTGAAAAGCATTTCAATATTGCAGTGGACTCTTTATTGATCAGAAATATTTTCTGCCCCTCCCTGAGTGAAGATTATACTTTCTGCCCTATTGATGCCCAGTTTGGATTCGTGACTTGCTCTAAAAGTTGGAGTCTAATCAACTACATAGGAGCAGAGTGACATGTATCCCTTTGCCATAAGACAGCCAACATTCCAAATAGAAGCTGCTCCCTCCACCTACGTCCCAGAGTGAAATAGCGTGGAACAAAGCCACAGCCAGCCTGCAGTGGGCATGTAATGACAGCAAGAAATGCACCTCTGTTGTTTTGTTGTAATCCATTAAGATTTGGGGGGGTCATTTGTTATTTCTGCATAACTTAGCATATCTTTATTGATACAAGTACTAGTTCATAATGTTGAACACTCATTTGCCCTAAGATCCAACAGTTTCATTGTAAAGAAGTTTCCCTGGAGACACTCTTGCACAGGAGACACACAAAAGAACATTCATAGCAACATTAATCATAACTGAAAAAAACCTGGAAACAACCCAAATGTCCTCAGAGAATGGATGATAAATTATGGTATATTTGCAAAATCATACAGCAGTCAAAATGAATGCATTCTAGCTACATACAACAACATGAATGACTCTTATAAATATAATTTTGAGTGACCAAAGCAAGTCGCAGAGGTCTCCATACAGTACAGACCATTTTCAGAAAGCTCAAAAATAAGCAAAATTAAATAATATAGTTTTAGGGTACATAATTATATGATAAATGATTTTTTTAAAGCAAGAAAATGATAGACAACATTCATGAGAGAGGTGGCCCAGGGGTGGGGTGGGGGGGGGAGGTAGAAGATGAGAGAGGGAAACAGCCCACAAATTGATACTCTGACCTTGACTTTGACCCTATAAAGGGTCAGATAGCAAATATTCTAGGCTTTGTGGGCTATACAGTCTCTATCACAACTAGTCAACTCTGCTGTTGAAATGCAAAGACCACCTTAGACAATATGTAAATAAATGTGTGTGGCTGTGTGTTTCAATAAAACTTCATTTACAGCCTCTGAAATTTGAATTTGAGTTCCATATAGTTTTACATGTCATAAGGCATTATTCTTCGTTTGATTTTTTTTAACCATTTAAACATATAAAAACCATTCTTAGCTCCTAAGCCATACAAAGACACGTGGTGTCTCAGATTTGGCCCTTGGGAGTTGGCAGATCCTTCGCTAGTGCTCTGGTTGTGTTCACGGTGTGCTTCATACTTATTTCACTTTTTATGTATTTCAAATATTATTTTTAAAATTTTTAAGAATTAAAGAAACATAAGCCCTGGCTCAGTGGAGAGCAGGACAAAAGCAGATGCGAGGAGGGAGATATCATGGTGCATGCAGAGACTTACGAACTCCTTCCAGAACTCTTCCTCAAGATCTGAGATTTTTGCCCTTGACCCCAAACTTGGGCACTGTTGTCATTCTCCTCCTCATAGTGGGGGGTGGGGGGGTCACTGTGTTGAATACTGAATCAGTAGAACATTTGGTTGGGGATATTTCATGCATCTTATGGCTTATTGTCAGATGTTATATTAGCACACAGAAAAAAAGTGAATTGATTTTGATTATAATTTTAGCTAAACCATTGGCATACATGATTAAATTTAAAATATAATTCTCTTTGGATTTCAAAAAAAACTAGCTCAAGCCTGTTAAGCAGTATCTAGAAAATGCCCCTTTACCACCAGCTGTGTCTCATACTTCTGTTCTGTTAAAAGTGGTACATTTTTAAAGGCCAACTCATTAACATTTGGAAAAAACTTGTACGGGGTAATCCTGTGTCTTATCCAAGATGGTATTTTTCAATTTAGAAAGATATGATAGCGCGTGGCTCGTGTTTCTCCTTCGATTCTTCTCAAGAGAGTCCCAACAGTTTTTTGGATTTCTGCTTCACAGTTCGCATTCTCCTTCTTCTTCTTCTGGAAATCGGCAGCTACAGGCATCTTCCTCTTGGGCAGTTTGTGCTGGTCTCATAAATGCTAAAAAGTAATTTAAAAGACACTTAACTTTATCTATGCAGAGATAGAAGTATAATGATGTACACCTGAAATATATACAATGTTATAAACCAATGTTACTGCAATAAACAAAAAAAAAGACACAACTTTTGTTGTCTGTTTTAATCATTTAACATCTATTTTCCATAAATCACAGTTGCAGAACATCTCTAAGTAGCAAATATTCTCAACTTTAATCTGAACAAACTCATTGACAAGAGAGGTATTAGCAAGCACAAACTTTTTCTCAAGATTATTCAAGATTTTTTTCTTTTTACTCAATACTCTTATTGGTCCTGAAAAACTATTGGTCCTAAAAAACTATTTTCTTTATTTTCTACAATGGCTAAAAACAGTCTTGAGCATGAATGACTATAGCATAAAATTAGTCATATCCCAAACGTAACTATAGTTTCAATTCAGCAGCACATATTTTAGTCTTGAGGGTTACTTAGATTACACATTACATAGTTTCTTTTGAATGCTTTTGGCTTCAAGATGTTAAACATACTCTCATTACTTCCATATATTAGTAATTAAAGAACTGATTTATGCATTAGTTTCCAGGTTTTCTTTTACACATTAGTGTGAAGTATTTGTGTTACTGCTGAGCAATCTTTAATCCTAAGAAGATATTTTTTTATAGCCTGACAAAGCAAAAGGCCCTACTCCAATTTTACATGCTTGTTACCATAAAGAATAACCAAAACCCAACAACCACACTATCTCCAAGAACTTATGAGAAACTGGCAAGACATTCAGAAATACCAATAGGACGTATTTTTCTTTTGAAATAGCATCAAGGATTAATTTTAAAATGGAAATCTGCTTCTGGAAAGATGGAGTAGTCATACTTTTTCCCATTCTTCCTGCTAGGTATCACTGAAAACTCCAGACATTTTATATATAACAAACATGAGAAAAATCTGAAAGGTGGAGAGAAGAAGGCAGACCAGCTAAGGATCTTGGGACCCAAGAAGAACATAGGCATGAGTTTCCTGGTTTTCTTTCTGCCTCGTATGCTCCAGACTGGGAACTGGAGAAGTCAGCAACCTAGAAATGCTGATGGATGTAGACTAAAAAAATGCCCCAAGAAAAGTCGGCTCTTGCTAGCTACAAAACCAGGAAAGGAGTGGCATAGCAAGACTGAAAACTTTTAGATAATAATCACTCTACACTAGAAAAACATCACAGAAAAAACTGTGGCCCCCACACCCAAGCCAACCAGCAAAGGCCAAGTGGAGAGCCTAGACTTCCACTCTTGCCAAGTTGTATCAAGGCTCACCTCCCTCTCCTCACGAGGGTAGTGTCAGAGGAGGCCTAGTGGAGAGCCAAGACTTCACTGCTGCTCAGCAGCAAGGAGGCCACCCCCTTCTCACTTCTTCACTGTCAGTGGAGGCCACCTGGAGAGTAGTAACAAAGTGTCTTTCCTCATCCCAGCGAGGGTGTTATCAGCAGAAACTCAGTGGGGAGCCTGAACTCCACACATGTCTAGCAATAACAAGGAGCCCCTCATCTCCAGGAGATCCAGTGTAGAAACTGGACTTCTCCTTCTTCTGCTGGAGTGTGGTGTTAGAGGAAGCCAGAATAAATACAAGCTTCCAATTAGATCCAGAATCTGATAACATCATATCCAAAATGTCTGGGTTTCAATCAAAAATCACTTGTCATTCTAAGAATCAGGAAGATCTCAATTTGAATAAGAATAAACAACAGATGCTCACATGTAGATGATATAGATATCAGAATTATCTGGCAAGGACTTTAAGGCAGCCAACATAAAGATGCTTCAACAAGCAATTGGAAACACGTTTGAAACAAGTGAAAAAGAAATAGAAGATATTTAAAAAAGAACCAGGTAGCAATTTTATAATGGAAAAATTACAATAACTGAAATTTTAAAAATCAATGAATGGGCTCAGCAACATAATGGGAAGGACAGAGGAAAGAATCATTGCCTAATCTGAACAACAGAGAGAAAACACTAGAAAAAAAATTAACAGAGTGTCAGGGACATGTAGGACTATAACGAAAGACTTAATATTCATGTCATTGGAGTCCTAGAAGAAGAGAAGAAAGAGAGTAGGGCTGAAAAAGTATTTGGAGAAATAATGGCTGAAAATTACCCAAATCCAGAAAAAGGCATAAGCTTACAGATTCAAGAAGCTGAGTGAATCCCAAATAGGATAAATCAAAGAAATTCACACCAAGATGCATCATATTTGAAGTTCTGAAAACAAAAGACAAAGAAAAAATCTTGAAAGCAGCCAGAGAGAAACAACCATTACAAGAGATATACAAAGAGATATACTCAAAAAACTACAGATAAATCAAAATGGAATTCTAAAAATTGAATTAATTTTTAGTAATCCACAAGAATGCAGAAAAAAACAAAACAGAGAAATGAAAACCAGAGAAAGCAAACAGAAAACAAAAAATAAAATGGCATCTTAAGCCTTCACACATAAATAATTACATTAAATATGCATGGTTTAAACACACCAATTAAAAGACAGAGATTGGTAGAATGACCCCTATATGTTGTTTACAAGAAATTCACTTCAAATATAAAAATGTAGGAAAGTTGAAAGTAAAAGGATGCAAAAAGATATATCACATATATATTAATTTAAAAAAAGCAGAAATGGCTATATTAATAACTGATAAAGTAGACTTCAAAGCCAAAAAAATTACCAAACACAGAGAGGAACTTTACATAATTATGAAAGAGTGAATTCGCCAAGAAGACATAGCAATACTAAATGTGTATACAGTAGTCCCCCCTTATCCACAGGGGATACATTCAAGACCCCCAGTGGATGCCTGAAACCACAGATAGTACTGAACCCTTTATATACTATGTTTTTTCTATACATACATACCTATAATAAAGTTTAATTTACAAGTTAGGCACAGTAAGAGATTAACAATAATAACTAATAATAAAATAGAACAATTATAACAGTACATTGTAATAAAAATTATGTGAATGTGGTCTCTCTCTCACAATATCTTATTGTGCTGTACCCACTCTTCTTGTGATGGTGTGAGATGATACAACGCCCCTGTGATGAGATGAAGTGAGGTGAAGGATGGAGTGGGACAGCACAAGATTTCATCATGCTTCTCAGAACAGTGTGCAATTTAAAACTTAGGAATTATTTCTGGAATTTTCCATTTAATATTTTTGGACCACGGTTGACCATGGGTAACTGAAACTGTGGAAAGTGAAACTACAGAAAAGGAGGGACTGCTGTACACCAAACAATAGAGTTGCAAAATAGGTGAAGCAAAACCTGATAAAACTGAAAAGAGAAATACACAAATCCACGATTATATTTGAAGAATTAAATGGCCCTCTCCCAACAGTTGATAGAACAACTAGACAAGAAATCAGCAAGGATATAGAACTCAACAAGTCATCAATCAATATGATCAAATCAATATTTATAGAACACTCCACCTGACAGCAGAATACACATTCTTTTCAAGTGTCCTTAGAACATATAGCAGGATAGACTGTATCCTGGGCC